GGCGGTAAATAGAAATTCACTTAATCTTTTTAGAAAAAAAAAAAGTAATATAGTTAGTTGTTAGTAGGATTTTGAATTTATATTAGAATAATATTTAAAACAAAATAATTAAAGTTGATTTGATGTAAAAGTAGAAGAGAGTTGATCTGAATCGATAGTTAGTTAAAATTATGTAAGTTGATAAATAGTGAATTAAAGTCAATGTAATATTTCAGAATGGCTGATTAATATTATTTAATTATATTAATAATATTGAGGATAGTGGAATTGAATTAAATTGAGTTAGATTTGAATTAACGAGTGATTGGTTAAAAATGATCAATTTTTTTTTAGATAAATTTGTATCCAAAGCATCCTCCTAGTTGCTCCTCTATAAATAGTACCCACAGCTTTGAATTCAACAGTACAACAACAAATTAACAACTTTAATTAGAACTCACACTATAATTCTTTTGTGATTAAATTCCCAAATGACGATTCCAGTTATTGATTTCTCAAAGGTTGAGGGAGATGAGAGGGCCAAGACTATGGCTCAGATTGCAAATTGCTGTGAAGATTGGGGGTTCTTTCAGGTAATTTTAATTTTTAAGTCTAATTTTATTAAAGTTCAGTTATTTTTCCAAATTACAAATGGCCCTTGTCATTTATTTATTTATTTATTTTGTTCTTATTTGCAAAATTTGTACTTTTAATGGTATATTTATCAAGAAAATGAAAATCTTGTGGGTGTCTATGCAATTCTAACATTTGACTACACTATTGGTAGAGTGAGCGGACCTGTTAGACGGGTTGACAAGTCATACTTTATTTTTTATAATAAAATACCTACTTATATATATTATAAAATATCATACTTTATATTGTTTTTAAGAATATGATATTTAAGTTCGAAAATTATGTACATATACTTAAAAAGTATGGTTGTCTTACTGTCACCAACTGCATGACTTTTATTCATTCTTCGCCTGCTTCTCGCTTTTTACATCTCCAATAATTATTTCGACCAAATTTCCTATCAAAACTCAAATAAAACACATTCGTCGTAGCTTAATTAATATAATTAATTAATTGCATATATATAAAGCTACAACTAAACGTACACGAAAATCACTAGCGACAGTATGTCAGCAGCCTTACCGATCTATCAGATAATTGTGGTATTGTACGTGTCGTGTTCTTGTTTCACTATCGCTTTTCGTGTTATCTATTTCATTCGAATCATATAATACTAACTCTAAAACGATCTATATTTTGTTATTTCGTGCTTTTCGTATCGTGCCATTTATCGCTAAAAGTGTTTTTTTATTTTATTTTTTTCTCTCTTCATTAGCTTATCAACCATGGAATTTCTGAGGAGCTATTGAAAAGGGTGAGGAAAGTGGCATCTGAATGTTACAATCTTGAAAGAGAGCCATTTTTCAAGAACTCGAAACCTGTGAAATTGCTCGACGAGTTATTAGAGAAAAAGAGCGACGAAAGAGTTGAAAATGTCGATTGGGAAGACGTGTTCTTGCTCTCAGACGATAATGACGAAGAGTGGCCTTCAAAAACTCGTGGTTTTCAGTAAAGCGCGAAATTTTTCTTTTCTTTTCTATCCCTTAACTTTTGTCTAAATACAAAAAGAACCATAATGTGTGGTTCTCCGGTAAATCTAGCTGATAAACTAGCTTATAACTTATAAGTACATTTTGAACTTAATTATAGGTGATAGCTTATGACTTGTGGTTGAAAAACTAGCTTACATGATATAAAAGTGTTTAGTAAAACTATAATTTGTTGTATAGTAATCTCATAGTTCAATGCCAATAATTTTAAGCATAGTTAACATTTTTCTTTTTTCTTTTATTTTTTTTTATTTTTATTTTTGTATGATTAAATCAAAAGGGAAACCATGAAGGAATACCGGGCCGAGCTAAAGAAACTTGCGATCCGAGTAATGGAAATAATGGATGAGAACTTGGGCCTCCCGAAAGGTTACATCAACCGGGCCTTCAACGGCGTTGGGCCCGAAAATGAAATCCGGGCCTTCTTCGGTACCAAGGTGAGCCACTACCCTCCTTGCCGGGCCCCCGAAAAAGTCAACGGGCTTCGGGCCCACACGGATGCCGGCGGCGTGATCCTACTCTTTCAAGACGACGAGGTAAGTGGTCTCGAGATCTTGAAAGACGGGTCGTGGGTCGAAGTCCAGCCCGTTAAGAACGCGATCGTTATAAACACGGGCGATCAAGTCGAGGTGTTGAGTAACGGGAGGTATAAGAGCGTTTGGCACCGGGTTTTGGCTAAACGGGACGGGACAAGAAGGTCGATTGCGTCTTTTTACAACCCGTCGTTTAAGGCCCCGATCGAGCCGGCTAAGGGGATTATTAAGGATAAGGAGGATGATTGTATGATTAGGTATCCTAAGTTTGTTTTTGGTGATTATATGTCTGTTTATGTTGAGCAGAAGTTTCTTCCAAAGGAGCCTAGGTTTGAAGCAGTGAAAGGAATGAATGTAATAAGCATTAAGGGAGAAAAATAGAAGATTGTATTTTTTTTTTTATTTTTTATTTTTTGGTAATATTTTTTAGTGTGTGCTGTTTTTATTTTAATGTGTGAGTTTGTGTGAATTTGTGAAAAAAAATGCTATGTTTTGGCAGATGTGATTATTCTTCTGTATTATGTAAGTGAAGGATGAATGAATTAATATTTAGTTAATTAATCATATTGCTGTCAATTTTTTATTTTGCTTTTGTGCAAGTTTCATGTATATATTGATCCACCTTTCTTGTTTACTTCATAATAGTCCAGTTGTTGATGTAACAAACACAGTCTCTTGTCCTAAAATAACAAATAAATAATAAATATAATAAAATGAAGAAATGTGGAACACAAAATTTTAAGTATGGAACTTCTTTTCTTTAATCCCTTTCTCAACTTTTGCAAATTAGACCATAGTATTAATTTAAATTTGATTGGAAAAACATGTAATAAAATTAATAATAAATCAATAATTTCAATAATTCGTACTCATAAAAGATAATGAAAAGATATATTTATTATATACACAAAAATATTTATTAAACACACAAAATACACTTTCGTGTTTTTTCAATATGTAGCACTAATTTTCCAATTCTAATGGTTATTTTCTAAATTGTTGAATTTTATAATCCTATTTAATATTAAAATTATTTTTAAAAATGTCTAATAATTAAAATAATTATTTATAAAAATATCTAATATTTAAAATAATTACAAATGTTAAAAATATTATTAGGAATATCATATTATTTTAATTTATTACAAATGTTTCTTAGAGTTTCCTTATTATTATAGATAATTTACCTTAAAATATTTGTATTAATACTTTTTTGTAGATAATTCACTTCCAAATATTTGTACGACTATTAGGAAGAAAATTAACTTCAAATTATTTGTATTATTATTGTTTTATAAATAATTTAATTCCACATATTTGTATATATTTCTACAAAATTTTAGAATATTGATATTAATATTGTTTTGTAAGTAATTTACTTCCAAATATTTGTGTGAATATTTTGACTATATTTTAGAAGTATTTTTACCATCCTTTATTGAATTTTGATCAAGACAAAAATAATAAATATCGTGCATCTATTTTTTTTTTTTTTTAAGATATTGTAGCTACTGTATTTATTTAATTACACATTTGTGTAGATTTAATATGGACACATACTTAAATTTATTCTGTTATAATAAGTTTTCAAAGAAATGACCAAATCTTATTTACACTGAATATATAAATTTCGAACATCGAGTTGCCTTAAAAGACCGTGTTCATGTTGTTGAATACAACTAATACCATACATACTAAAAATTTCATAAACCAAATCTGACATGTTCATGTTTTTGCAATACAACGAATAACATATATACTAAAAATTTCCTAAACCACACCAGCAGATTCAAATTGGATCTCATGTATTTTTGTTTTTTAAAACTTGTAATGTTCAAGAAAAATCAAGTTTGTAACATCAAAT